CCCCCCCCCCCCCCCCCCCCCCCCAGGGAAGGGATGATGCAAGAGTCTAACGCATCATAGTACAGGTGTTCAAGATTTCCAAGAAACCTCGTGATTGGTCTATTTAATTCTTTATGTGGATTTGGTCAAATGTAGATTATGAATTAGCTTTCAAATTACGCATACAAATACCAAGAATCAAGAATGATATGATTAGACTCTAATTTCTAAGAAACAAATCCTCTTGTTACATCGATGTTTTGACTCTAAAGCCTAAATTCTTGGAAACCCTGCGTTTTGGTTTCGTCTGCTTAATCTGAAACCACAAACTTACTTAAGTGCACTGCACTTAGCTTTCAAATTACGCATACATCTCTCTGTTTCGATGTTTTGACTCTAAAGCCTAAATTCTTGGAAACCCTCCGTTTCAGTTTTGTCTGCTTAAACTGAAACAACAAACTTACTTAAGGGCACTGCATAATGCAGAGCTACCAAGATGAAATAGTGAGACACTAATTGACAAAGTACTACAAAAAATATGGGCGAAGAAGACGCGAATCGAATGTAAAGTGATGTTAGGAATTTTGACGAACTACAGTTTATATTTAATTTAGTATAAAATTATCTTATATTTACACGTACCAGGTACATAGAACAACCGTACAGCCAGTCTGCTTTTGCATTTCGTTGTAGCAAATTTCTAAAGGAAACTATTTATTCAGGTCTAAATTTCTTCCTCGGCTTGATCTTGGTTTTTTCAAACTAATAGCACTCTTCATCCTCCCTTTCCAGGGAAGGGATGATGCAAGAGTCTGACGCATCATAGAACAGATGTTCAAGATTTCCAAGAAACTTCGTGATTAGTCTATTTAATTATTTATGTGGATTTGGTCAAACGTAGATTATGACTTAGCTTTCGAATTACGTAGACATCTCTCTGTTTCGATGTTTTGACTCTAAAGCCTAAATTCTTGGAAACCCTCCGTTTCAGTTTCGTCTGCTTAAACTGAAACAACAAACTTACTTAAGGGCACTGCATAATGCAGAGCTACCAAGATGAAATAGTGAGACACTAATTGACAAAGTACTACAAAAAAGACAACTTTTTACTCAGGTTTAAATTTCTTCCTCGATGTTTTGACTATAAACCCTAAATTGTTGGAAATCCTGCGTTGCATTTGTTTAAGCTGAAACCACAAAGTTACTTAAGTGCACCGCATAATGCAGAGCTACCTGGAAGAAACAGTGAAACACTAATTGACAAGGTGCTACAAAACAAAAATGTGACAAGAAGACACGAATCGAATGTAAAGTAATATTAGTAATTTTGAAGAACTACAGTTTATATTTAATTTAGTATAAAACTCTCTTCTACTGCCCGTACCAAGCTGGGTGAACAGCGAGGGAGATTTCAAGATACTCCGTACACCCCAAACCAAAATGAAAATGCTTAGAGCTTTCTGAAAAAGGTTTTTTCGACTCGATCCTTTTCGACTCGATCCTTTCAAGTTTAAACTTTCGAAGTTTACTCCGTAGAGTCCACAGTCATCATTACAGACGTTAATTGCGAAAAGAGGTTAATTGACGATGGCGAATGCGAGTCCGTAAGCTCCTAAAATCATAGTCGAAATTATGCACTTAATTGTGCACATCCCTTT